TTACAACCCCAAGGCCGCATAGTTAAGGGCTGAATTATGATAGGACTAATCCTATCTTTTATCACCATAAAAACATTATTGTATTACGAAAAAAATAACCATAAAGACTAATGTAAAACACTGTCATAAAACCACAATGGTAAACTAAACAACATGAAGATTCTTTGGTATAGAGTCCATTCCACTCCTTCACTCCATTCACTATGCCAGCCACTGATGATTAAATTTTCATCAAAATGGAAAAAGTCAAAGAGCTGTAGCATTTCCATCACTGCAGGAAGACTTTCTCCACAGCTCTAAATCCTATCTTAGAATCATAAACAAGGGCGGATATAGCTTAGTGGTAGAAAACTCGCTTGACAAAGGTGAGGCCCTGGGTTCAGTTCTGGTAGCACCAATAAAAGTAAAAGAATAATGAACAAACTCACCAGCTTTGCTTCTAGTTCTTACCACTAGAATGCATAGTTACATACACTACTGAAATATATAATCAAACTAAGTTCCACTATTGACTTCAAGTTCAGGACAAACTTGGCTTTTTTTTTTTTTTTTTACAAACCCAAAGATGGGGCTTTGATAGTAGAGTAGTACAGGGGATAGACAGATAGTTCAGGGGATTGGGCATTTGCCTTACAAACCCAAAGCTCCTACAATTAAATGAACAAACCTCAGCTTTTAATGCTGTAACGCATACTCCTCAGAGAGTTTAACTATTAAAAGCAAAATGCAATAGCGCCTTCCCTGGGGAGCAAAGAACCCAGGTGCCTCAAATGAGGACTATTAAAAACAATTACAGTTCATAAAACAATCAGAAGACTATGAGCCCTGGGGAGTTTAGTTTAGAAACACATTAATACTTTTCTTGTTTTTTTTACCAAAAAATTCAAACATGAAGACCCTTATAAGGTATTCTGGGCTGGAGCCACAGCACAGCAGGTAGGGAATTTGCCTTGCACGAGGCCAACCCGGGTTCAATTTCCAGCATCCCATATGGTCCCCCGAGCACCGCCAGGAGTGATTCTTGAGTTCAGAGCGAGGAGGAACCCCTGAGAATCACTGGGTGTGACCCCCAAAAAAAAAAAGGTATTCTCTGCAGAACACACTTTCAAAAGACATATGGCTATTCTAGATAATTACAAAGTCCTGCTTTGAAGGAATAAGTGATAAGAAAACTCAAATTAACACACAACACAAATTATATGGAATTTGCAACCTCCTCTCTAACTGAGATCAACCCTCTTAAAAAAGGCGTACAAGGGGGCAGGAGAGTTGGCATAGCACACAGGGTGGGATACTTGCCTTGCACATGACTGACTCGGGTTTGATTCCCAGAACCACGTATGGTCAGTAAGTGTACTGCCGGTGTGGCCCAAAACAATTATAACAAAAGAAATTTTTCTATTTCAGTCTTTCTATGGTTTGCTTTCCTTTGGGGGGAGGGGCAATGGAGGATTAGAGTGCAACATCTGGCAGTGCTCCGGGGACAATGCCATATTGGGGACTGAATCTGGAGTTCTTGCATACAAGACTTGTGTTCTAGTGCACTGGGCCATCTCCCTTACCCCAGGCCTATATTTCTGATTCACTGGCTCATTTTCCAGTGAATTTTCCAGAGGAAGGTGGCAGAAGGTGCCAACCAACTGAACTCTTAATTTGAAGCAGTTTTTCAGGTTGACTCCCAAACCTATATACAAGGGAGCCAAGTGACATGCATGAGCCCCACAACTGTTCTGGAAACCCATTTAACTGGAAATCAAGGTTACTCAACTGCAGCACCACTGAAACTGGGCCAAATTTCAACCCCCCCCCCCACAGTCCCCCTCAGAAGTTTGTTCTATGCTGGCAGGAAGTTCTGCTGCAACCCTGCCCTCTACCCACCATAGGGCAATATGGTCCCCTTCTTCCTCAGCCAACACAGCCCAAGCAAAATCATCCTTGTTTGAGAACCCTAGCCCTGACTCAAAAAAATTCTTTTCCAGCCCAGATTCCTCCTATTCATTTAATGCTCACCCCCCCCCCCCCCAAGACTTTCTCTCACAATCTGACAAATGTTTACAGAACCTCTAAGACACAACCTTGAGGCTCTGGGAGACAGATTCTGTCCCTACACTCTGGCTGGTTTCCTGGAGGAGTAATGAAAAAAGGTTATAAAGAACAAAAATCAGAAGACTCTCAATTAAATGTTGTTTTAATTTTTTTTCTTTTTGGTTCTCTTGCACTCTCATTCTACAAAATATAGCTTATAGCAGAAAGACCATAACCTTTCTTGGAGAACCAATGCTTCATCGTTGATCAATAAAAATAATCTACTGAAAACTTCAGAACAAGATAACAATTTCAAATAGATGGTAAACAAGGCTTACTTAGTTAACTTAAATAAGCAAATTAAACTCTGTTACAATTTTTTTCCCTCCAGGGAAATGGAGTGAAAAATGATGGCTGACAGGATTAAGTTAGGTAATACAAGTAAATACTTTCCCCCACTTGGCACAGAATACACATTCAATTAATGTAAGCTATATTCCTATTATTTTACTAGCTATTTTAATTAGCCAAAAATTCCACATCAAGGGGAAGAGATTGCTCTGGGCTGCAAAAGAACACAAAGATAAATAAACTATCAGGCTGCTTTCAGAGTACCAGAAAAAGAAAGTAAGCATAAGAATTTCTATCAAAATCCTGGGAGGGGAAAAAAAAGAAGGCAGGAAACAAAAAGAAATGGGAGAAGAGGCATTACACTCTGACCGGGGCTATTCAAAAGATGTTTCTATGTAAACCATGCAGGTCTGCCATCAGCACACAAAGACCTAACGGTGCAGTGGAGTGAGGTAATTCCCAATTCACAGATCTATACACAGGGATTAATGCTTAGGAGATTTTATGTCATATCTTTGACAAAATGTGCTTAGAATTTCTATTGCTGTAATACTGAACACAAACCACCCATTCTGAATACAAATCATAAGAAGAAAAAGGCCAACCGTGGGTAGGGTGCTTACCCCAAGCTCTAACAGATGTGATCCCTGAGCACAGAGCCAGAAGTAAGCCCTGCGCACAGCTGGGTGTGGGCCCTCAAAAAAAAAAAAAGAAAAGAAAAGAGCTCCTCGGTGAGTGGCCATTAGAGGTCCCGAGATGGTGCATTACTTGCTGGACCCCGAGAACCCGACGAAATCATGCAAGTCCCAGGGCTCGAACCTTCGCGTGCACTTCAAGAACACTGGGGGAAATGGTTCAGGCCATCACGGGCATGCATATCAGAAAGGCCACTAAGTACTTGAAGGATGTCACTCTTCAGAAGCAGTGTATGTCCTTCCTGCATTACAACAGTGGCATTGGCAGGTGCGCCCAGGCCAAACAGTGGGGCTGGACACAGGGTCAATGGCCCAAAAAGAGTGCTCGATTTTTACTACATATGCTTAAAAATGCAGAAGGTAATGATGAACTCAAGGGTTTAGATGTAGATTCTCTGGTCTTTGAGCATATCCAGGTGAACAAAGCACCCAAGATGTGCCGCAGAACTTACAGGGCTCGTGGGCGAATCAACCCCTACATGATCTCTCCCTGCCCCATTGAGATGACTCTTACTGGAAAAAAACAGATTGTTCCTAAACCCGAAGAGGAAGCTGCACAGAAGAAAAAGATATCACAGAAGAAACTGAAGAAGCAAAAACTTATGGTCTGGGAATAAGCTCGGCATAAAATAAAAATCTAAACTGAAAAAAAAAAAGAAAGAAAAAGTGAGAAAGCTTGTGTATAAAGTAGCAGGAAAAGTGAATGATTCAGAAGCATGTGTGGACGTATGTGTGAAAATCGGATGATTCAAAGGTAGGTAGGTGTGTTGTGTGCATGCATGCATGCATGCATGCGTGCGTGTGTGAGTGTGTATGTGAAGCAACACTCAAAGTGAAAACATGCGAATAGAAGGCAAAGTTTGGGGATGATTTAAATGTAAGTGTGTGTGTATTTGTGCATGCGTGTGTGCGTGCGTGTGTACGAATGTGTGTGAAGCAACACTCAAAGTGGAGAAACGCGGATAGAAGGCCGACAGTCAGGGGTGCTGAGAAACACCCTGACGTCCAGGAAGATCTCCCCCCTTTCCCCCAACTGCACTCGGGGGTGGGGGGTGCAAAAGCAAGCCTCTCACACTAAGGCAAACCCCAGGGCGGTGTGGACCATGGGGCGGCCCAGCCCCGTGGCAGGGGCGCAAAGCCGCCAACACCAGCGAGAGAAGCGCCAACCGAGGAGCCAGCGGAGCCAGCGCAGCGCCGAGGGGGACGAACCCGACGTTCTGCAACTCCAAGATTCCCACCCGGGCTCTGCGTTTTGGTGGGTGGATGGGGGGCGGGGGGGGTCGTCTCTCTTCCTCCCAGTTCCGCAAAAGCCATGCGCGCGCGCTCGCTGCCCCCCCACCCCCAAGTGCAGCCGGGGCCAGGCCTGTGCCCCAGCGCTCGGGCACGTTCCGGGGTTGCGCATCCTCGGAGTTGGCGCGGGGCGACCCGAGAGGTCGAGAGATGCTGCGGCCGCGCCCCGCCGCGTGGGGAAGGAGCCCACCCGGGGGGCACTCGGGAAGGTGGGCGTCCGTCCGGCAGCCAGAGCCTACCTGGCCCCTACCCCGCGCCCCAAGCCAGTGCGTTTTCACGCCCTCCCCCCACACCCGCCTCCTCGGGGTCTGCGCGGGGCTGGTGCGGGGACGGGGCGCGGGCGGGAGGCGGGAGCCGCGTGGGGGCTCCGCACCGAGGATGACAAGGATGACAAGACTGCCTTCCCGGAGGGAGGGGAGGGCGGTAAGGGTCTCGGCTGGGGGCCGGAAGCACGGGCAGCGGGGGGAGGGGGCGCCGCGGCCGGGTTGGGGGGTCGGCAGCCGCGTCACTCCCATCCCCTCCGAGCCCATCTGCAGGAGGCAAGCGCGGCTGCGGGAAGCCCCGGGGGTCGGGCCGCCTGGGTCCGACCGCGCCGAATCCCCGCACCCCCAGCCGCCGGCGCCCCGTGCAATGCGTTACCTGCGGGGGCCGACTGGCTCCGCTCCACCGCCGGGCCGTCGCCGACGCCGCCCGGGCGCTCCGACATCTGCGGCCGCCACCCCGAGCGCTCCGCGCCGGCCGCCAGACGCTCCGGAAACGGCCGAGAGCCGAGCGAGCGCGGGAGCCGCGCGCCGGGAGGAGCCGAGCGCGGCCCGGGCCGGAAGGGGCCGCCCGCGTTCGGGGAGTCGCGGCGGCGGCGGCGGCGCCCGCCCGCTCGCTCGCTCGGGCCAGGCTCTCGGAGGGGAGCACGGCCGCGTGCCGGCGAGGGCGGCCTCTGTCACGGCGGCACCCGCACGGCCCCGAGCAAATCCCGAGGAAGATTCAGGAAGCGCCGGCCGGAAGCCGTGGTAGCCATAGAGACGCTATCGGAAGTGGGGGTTGCTAGGAGGCCGGGGCGACTCGGCTGAACTGCGTCATGGCTGGCCTCCCCGAAGAGGAGGATTCCGCCTCTGATGGCGAGAAAGAAGACCAGGGGTCGCCGCTGCGGGATCAACGGCCGCCGCCGGAGCCCCCTCGGGAAGCGGAAGAGGCCGCCCCGGAGCTCTCTGTGGAGACTGATGAGCACTTCGGTGAGGAGGAGTCGGAGAAGCCCTTGGGTGCCGTCCCACAGGTCTCCTCGAACTCCCGGCTGTCGCTGTCGGAAGCGATTTTCAAGGACTCGGAGGAAGACCATTCTACAGATGCCACGCGGGGAGTTTCCGAAGAGGTAGAGCAGGAAACGTTGAGAGATGTGGGAGGTGGGATTTCCGACGGCCAGGCAGTTTCAGGGGCTGACAAACGTGAGCAGGTCGACCCAGGACCTTATGAAGCAGAACCGCATGAAGCAGAGGACGTGATCGTGGAATCCCTTAAGAAATCAGATCAAGAGCTACCAGAGGACACTGAGGTTCGGGGACCCAAAATCAGTGAGCTAAGTGTAGGGTTTCCAGGGGAGGCTCAAGAGGTATCACTTGCAGAACAGCGTGATAGTGTCAAGCCAGAACATGTAGAGCAGACCGAACCAGAATTCCTGAGTAGGGAATTAAGAAAATTCACGGAAAGCACAAATCTACAGCCACCAGAGCTGACCAAACCTGATGTTCTCGGGGAGACACAAAGCAAATCACCTGAGGAAGACAGGACAGAACCTTCTGAGCAGGTCAAACCAGAGCTTCCAGAAGAGGAACCAAGAAAGTATACTGAAGAGGCAGCTCAGGAACTTCTGGAAGAGACTAAAGCAGAGACCTCAGAGGAGATATGGGGAAAATCAGCCAAGGAGTCAAAGACAGAACCATCTGAGCAGACTATAGCAGAGTTTCCAGAGGAGACACAGAGAAAATCATCTGAGGAGTCAGGGAGAGAATTATCTGAGCAGGTAAAACCAGAACTTCCAGGAGAGGAACCAAGAAAGCCTACTGAGGAGGCAGCTCAAAAGCTTCTGGAAGAAACTACAGCAGAGACCCCAGAGGAGACACAGAGAAAACCAGCCGAGAAGTTGGGAACAGAGCTATTTGAGCAGGTCAAACCTGAGTTTCCAGAGGAGAGAAAAAGAAAATCAACTGTGGAGTTAGAGACAGAACCATCTGAACAGACTAAAGCAGAGTTCCCAGAGGAAAAACAGAGAGCAACAACTGAGGAGTTAGGGACAGAACCATCTGAGCAGACTAAACCAGAGTTTCGAGAGGAGAGACAGAGAAAATCAGATGAGGTGTTAGGGACAGAAGCATCAGAACATACTGTAGCAGAGTTTCCAGAGGAGACACAGAGAAAATCACCTGATTATAAAAGAACAGAATCATCTAAGCAGGTCATACCAGAGTTTTCAGGAGAGAAACCAAGAAAATCTATTGGGGAGGCGGAACCACCTGAGCAAACTAAAGCAGAGTTTCCAGAGGAGACACAGAGAGAATCACCTGAGTACAAAAAGACAGAACCATCTGAGCAGGTCATACCAGAGTTTTCAGAAGAGAAACCAAGAAAATCTATTGGGGAAGCGGAACCACCTGAGCAGACTAAAGCAGAGTTTCCAGAGAAGATCCAGAGAAAATCAGATGAGGAGTTAGGAACAGAACCATCTGAGCAGGTCATACCAGGGTTTACAGAAGAGAAACCAAGAAAATTTATTGGGGAGGCAGAACCACCTGAGCAAACTAAAGCAGAGTTTCCAGAGAAGATCCAGAGAAAACCAGGTGAGGAGTTAGAAACAGAACCATCTGAGCAGGTCATACCAGGGTTTTCAGAAGAGAAACCAAGAAAATCTATTGGGGAGGCGGAACCACCTGAGCAAACTAAAGCAGAGTTTCCAGAGAAGATCCAGAGAAAATCAGGTGAGGAGTTAGGAACAGAACCATCTGAGCAGGTCATACCAGGGTTTTCAGAAGAGAAACCAAGAAAATCTATTGGGGAGGCGGAACCACCTGAGCAAACTAAAGCAGAGTTTCCAGAGAAGATCCAGAGAAAATCAGGTAAGGAGTTAGGAACAGAACCATCTGAGCAGGTCATACCAGGGTTTTCAGAAGAGAAACCAAGAAAATCTATTGGGGAGGTGGAACGGCCTGAGCAGACTAAAGCAGAGTTTCCAGAGGAGATCCAGAGAAAACCAGGTGAGGAGTTAGGAACAGAACCATCTGAGCAGGTCAAACCAAAGTTTCCAGAAGAGGAAGCAAGAAAGTCTCTAGACTTTCAAGAACCTCAGGAGGAGGCCAAAGCAAAGACCCCAGAGGAAAAACAGAGAAAATCAACTGAGGAGATAAGAACAATACCACATGACCTGGTCAAACCAGAGTTTTCAGAAGAGAGAAAAAGAAAATCAATTGAGTCAGGAACGGGACCATCTAAGCAGACTAAAGTAGAGTTCCCAGAGAATAAACCAAGTCTGTCTACTGAGGATACACAAAGAAAGTCAACAGAGGAGAAAGTTCCAGATTTGCTAGAAAAGACAAAATCAAAGTTTTCTAAGGAAAAAACAAGAAAATCAATTGAGGAAACAGATCTCAAGTCATCAGAAAATATCAAATCAGAAGTTCAAGAGGAAACAGAAAGAACACTAACTGCAGAGAAAGTTCTAGCATCACTAGAGGACATTAGACCAACAGATCAAAAGTATGAGGCTAGGAAATTATCTGAAGATGTAGCAGTAGGTCTTGTACAAGAGTTTAATCCAGAGGAGTTACTGACACAGCTAAGGAAGGAAGTAGGTGAAAGGCCATTAGGACAGACTAAATTAGAAGAATCAGCTGAGGTTATAAGTCAGGTGTCCCCTCAAAGGAACGAACTAGAGATCCAAGAGTCAGAAACAGATACAACTCAGAAAACAGAGTTACTGTATAAAGTCCTATCACAAGTTAAAAGAGAGAAATTTATAGACCACAAAAAGGAGCAGAGAGAAGCAAATAAATTTAAGTATTATGCAAAGGTTAGACTGGAGCAACTCCGCAGAAGAAAGATCTCGATCAAGGATTATCCAAGATATTCAAGAGGCTCTGACATTACGGAATCTCGTACTCCTGAAGGTTCGTTATCTCTACAGCAGGACTTTTATCCAGATCTCCAAAACTTGACTGTGCTCAGCGATTCCGGCCAAGGCTCACTACAGAGTGAGGACTCTGAGGAGAGTTTCAGAGAATCCTCTGCTGTGTCCCCAGGGCCAGAGGAACTGAAATCTGAATCAAGTACTGAGGGACCAGAAGGATTTCTGAAATGGAGTCCGGAGAATGTTGCAGTGTGGATTAGCCAGCTGGGCTTTCCTCAATACAAGGTACATTAAAAAATAATGCTAAAAACATTTAGTAATGTTTATATAATTGATATAAAAACTATATCAAAACATGTAAGTTAATAAGCTTAACCATTTATAAATAGGTTTAGAGAGGTATAAAAAGAAACCTCTTTAAAAGACCTTAAAAGTATCCATTTTGGGCCTCTATAAATAACTAATTGTTTACAATTTTTTAATTTCCTTACATTTTCTTAGAAAGTGAGTCTGTAATTTCTATATATTTGATCTTGTCCTAATTTAGAAAATAACCTTTTGAAGTCGCTCTCATCCTTTCTTCCTCCTATTCCTCTACCCTGACCTGAGTCAGTACTTTGCTGCAATCCTTAAGGACAAAAAATTTTGTTTTGACCCAAGGTAGACTTTTTCCCTTCTTTTGACTTTTTGCATGTACTTGTTTTGTTTGTTTGTTTGTTTTGGGGCCACGCCCTGAAGTGCTCGGGGCTTTCTCCTGGCTCAACACTCAGGGATCACTCCTGGTGGGCATGGGGGCCCATATACAGTGCCATTGGTTGGACCTGGGTTGGTGGCAGACAAGACAAGTGCCCTAGTCATTGTACTATTTCTCCTGCCCCATATTTTTTATTTTCTCCTATGTTTTGGTTTGTTTGTTTTGTTTTTGTCCATACCCAGCAAAGCTTAGGGTTTCCTCAGGTTTCCTCAGGAATTACTTCTGGTGGTGCTTGGGGAACCATGTGGGATGCCAGGATCGAGCCTGGTTGGCCATGTGCAATGCTAGCAGCCTACCCGCTGTATGATCACTCTGGCCCCTCTTTTTCAACCTTTCTCTCAAAAATCACAGTAATTATTTAACTCATTACAAAGTTATTAAAATATGTGAATTCTTTTTATTGATACCGTTTTATGTTTTTAGACAAAATACAAGACCTGAAATCTTTTGCACCTCATACTTTATTTTAAATTTTTTATTTTTGGAGGGGGAGGCTCACCCAGCAGTGCTTAGGGCTTATTCCTGGCCCTGTGCTCAGGAATTGTTCCTGGTGGTGCTCAGGGGACCGACCTTATGTGGTAATGGGGATAGAACTGGACAAGTGCTTTAACCCCTGTACTATCTCTTCAACCCTATATCCCTGTACTTTAAATTGTAGTTTGAGGCACAAAAGATGCACTGATTGTAACATACCAAAAAAAAAAAAAAAGATTAAGGACCCAGTATGAAGTAACAAGAACTTAAGTGAAGGAAAAAATCCCTGAATTATTAGCATTTTTTTTTTTTGCTTTTTGGGTTACACCTAGCAATGCTTAGGGGTTACTCCTGACTCAGCACTCAGGATTTAGTCCTGGTGGTGCTTGGAGAACCATATGGGATGCCAGGGATCAAACCCGGGTCAGCCATGTGCAAGGCAAATGCTCTACCTGCTGTATTTACCACTCTGGCCCCTTAACATTATTGTTGAATTTCAATTTCAATTTATTTTTTCCCTCAAGACCAAGATAAATGTGATTTATTTCTTCCTCCTTCCTTCTTTTTTCCCCTACCATTTGCAATTCATCGTTTGAGTAATATTCTCATTGTACTGACAGGAGTGTTTTACCACAAACTTCATCAGTGGACGAAAACTCATCCATGTAAACTGCTCAAACCTCCCTCAGATGGGAGTAACAGATTTTGAGGACATGAAGGTGAGCTCTATTTTAAGTTTCTCTGTAGAAGACTATGACATTGCTACCATTGATCTCAAAACAGCCTCCTTTTCCTCTTTTTTTTTATTTTACAATCCTGGCTTTTCTCAGTGCTGTTGTATTCCCAGTCCCCTAGGCTTGTAGTTACTTCCTCCAGTTTCACAAGCTCAAAGACCCAAGACCCACGACCTCCATCTGTTTTTCTGCTTTCCCTCTTGTTAAAACCATTATCACCTCATGCAGAGAACCTCCCAATAGCTTTCCCAGTTTAGGCTCTCTTTATTGTCCCTTTGGAGTCAATACCTCTTCTTTTATCTTCAGCAATGTCTGTCCTATCCAGAAGTCTTGTTTGAATCCACTCTGCTTATAAGAGAACCTTAGTTCCTGAGTTTAAAATTCAAGCCCACTGTTCTCTCCCTACCACTCCTTGAAAGCAGAGTTTCTCAATTTTTTCTCCTACTTAAACCCTAACAAAATTGTTTTCTTTTCCTGCACTTTCTTACTGACTGACTCCCTAGTTTCATGCGGGGTGGGGGTGGGGGGAGGCGCCCTCAGCAGCCCTTCTGGTCCCTGGTTAAGAAACGCTGCCCTCATGCATCTGCTTTTTTTTTTTTTAATTTTTATTAGTGAGAGATTATGAGGTACAGTTGTAGACTTAAAACTTTTTGTGCTTGGGTTTCAACTGTACAATGATAAAATACCCATCCCTCCACCGGTGGCCATTTCCCACCACCATGGATCCCAGTATCCCTCCTACCCCCCATCCCCCCCATCCCACCCTGCCTCTGTGGCAGGGCATTCCCTTTTGTTCTTTCTCTCTTATTGGGTGTGGTTTGCAAAAGAGGCAATGGGTGACAATCATGTTTGGTCTATAGTCTACTTTCAGCATGCTTCTCCCATCCTGGGAGGATCCTCCCAGCATCTTTATTTAGTGTTCCCTTCTCTATCTGAGCTCGCTTTTCCCCTAGCATGTGTGGTTGACCTCCAAGCCATGGAGTAAAATTCCTGGTACTAATCTCGGTCATTCTTGGGTGTTAGTCTCCTATTTTGTTACTTTATGTTCCCCAGATGAATGCAATCTTTCTATGTCTATCCCTTTCTTTTTGGTCATTTCGCTTAACATGATACTTTCCATGTAGTACCACTTGTATGTATGACTTCGTCTTTTCTAACAGCTACATAGTACTCCATTGTGTAAATGTACCAAAGTTTCTTTAACCAGTCATCTCTTCTCGGGTACTCAGGTTTTTTCCAGATTCTGGCTATTGTAAAGAGTGCTGCAATGAACAAACAATTGCAGATGTCACTTCTACTATACTTTTTTGCCTCTCTGGGATATATTCCCAGGAGTGGTATTGCTGGGTCAAATGGAAGCTCAATTTCTAATTTTTTGAGAATCGTCCATACTGTTTTCCAAAAGGGCTGAACCAGTCGGCATTTCCACCAACAGTGAAGGAATGTCCCTTTCTCGCCACATCTGCGCCAGCACCGATTGCTCTTGTTCTTGTGGATATGGGCACATCTCTGTGGTGTGAAATGATATCTCATTGTGGTTTTGATCTGCATCTCCCTGATGTTTAATGATGTGGAGCATTTTCTCATGTGCTTTTTAGCCATTCGGATTTCTTCTTTGTGAAAGTTTCTATTCATTTCATCTCCCCATTTTTTGATGGGGTTGGATGTTTTCTTTTTGTGGCGTTCAACCAGTACTTTGTTTATCCTTGATATCAACCCCTTGTCGGATGTGTATTTGGCGAATATCCTTTCCCATTCTGTAGACTGTCTTTGTATTTCATCACTGTTTCTTTTGAGGTGCAGAAGACAAATGGGACTATCTTAGTTTAAACTAAGATAGTCCCATTTGTCTATCTCTGTTTTCACTTGCTTGGCCAGCAGTGTGACATCTTTGAAGGTACCATTAGCTTCTATGTCATGGAGGGTTTTGCCAACTTTTTCCTCAGTGTACCTTATGGATTCCGGTCTGATGTTGAGGTCTTTAATCCACTTTGATCTTACTTTTGTACATGGAGTTAGGCAGAGATCTGAGCCCACTTTTTTGCATGTAGCCGTCCAGTTTTCCCAACACAATTTGTTAAAGAGGCTTTCCCCGCTCCACTTCACTTTTCTTGCCCCCTTATCGGAGATTAGATGCTCGTATGCTTGGGGGGAGATGTCAGTATATTCAACCCTGTTCCATTGGTCTACAGCTCTGCCTTTGTTCCAGTACCATGCTGTTTTAATTATTACTGCTGTGTAGTAGAGTTTGAAGTTAGGGAGGTTGATTCCTCTCATTTACTTTTTCCCAAGAATTGCTTTAGCTATTCGTGGGGGCTTATTGTTCCATATAAATTTCAGGAGTGTTTGCTCCATTTCTTTGAAGAATGTCATGGGTATCCTAATAGGGATCACGTTGAATTTATACAGTGCTTTGGAAAGTATTGCCATTTTGACAATGTAATTCTCCCGATCCATGAATAGGGGATATTTTTCCACTTCCTCACATCTTCTTTTATTTCCTGAAGTAGCGTTTTGTAGTTTTCTTTGTACAGGTCCTTTACTTCCTTAGTTAAGCTGATTCCTAGGTACTTGATTTTCTGGGGCACAATTGTAACCTCATGCATCTTCTATGCCAGCCTTATAGGGCTAACTCTCACCCTTGCAAGTATGTCTTGTTCATTTCCTCTCTCTTTTGCTCAGAGACACCCTCCTTTACCACCACCTCAAGAATAAATCATGTGACTGTTAATTTTCCTACAAAACCTAGGTTAACTCTCACCTCTCTTATAAAATGTCTCTCCTTGGGCTAGAGTGATAATACAGCCAGTAGGGCATTTACCTTGCACAAGACTGACCTGGGTTCAATCCCTGGCATCTCATATGATCCCCCGAGTATTACCATAAGTAATTCCTGAGGAAAAAGTCAGGAGTAACCTCTGAGCATCCCAGAGTATGGCTCAAAAACAATAAAAATAAAGTCTCTTCTAAGCTTCCAACCTCACACTACTCACTCTAACTCTTACACATTTGATACCACTTATCATCCATTTGGACTTCTTTCTTTCTTTAAATCTTTTGTTTGTTTGTTTGTTTTGGGGCCACACTTAGTGGTGCTCAGGGATTATTCCTGACTCTATGCTCAGGAATTACTCCCAGAGGATTTGGAGGACTGTATGGGGTGCCAGGAATCAAACGTAGGTTGATCTCGTGCAAGGCGAGCACCCTATCTGTATGAGTGTACTATTGCTGTACTATTGCTCTGGACCGTTTGGCACTTTTTAAAAACACCATGTGTATTTGCCAGTTTTGCCATCTAACTTTGAAGCAAATTTCATTAACCTCCCTGCACCTTAATTTCCTAAGCTTTTTCTAGTACTAGCAGTCCATTATTATGTTTTTTGCACAATAGTCCTGTTTATAGTGCTGTACAATTTACAAAGCTCCATTTAAACTTTCCTTTCATACACCATACCACATATTTGTGGTTTCATTTTGTAAACTTATGCCCAGAAAACTCTACCTCAGTGCTCCTCAAACTTGGATACTTTTCTGTATCAGATAAGATTTTTTTAAAAAAAAAATTCTTATGCTCCATACTCCAGAGATTCTGACTCATTATATCTAGGTTAAGTCTTGGAATTAGTCCCCTAACTGATCCTGGTCAAACAGAGCCAAATGATTACATAAGTCATGTGATTTAGAAGATAAGAAAATTATTCTCATTAATACCCAAGACCCTTTTCTGGCAACAAGATGTAATAAAATCTTTTAAATTATTAGACAGGGATCGGAGCAATAGCATAGCAGGTAGGGCGTTTGCCTTGCATACGGCTAACCTGGGTTCAATCCCTGGCATCCCATATGGTCCCTCAAGCACCGCCAGGAGTAATTCCTGAGTGCAGAGCCAGGAGTGACCCCTGAACATCGCTGTGTATGACCAAAAAAAAAGCAAAAAAAAATTATTGGACACGTCATCATAATTTAACTCTTAAACTGTCATTATACCTATCTTTCCTGAGTGCTTACTATTTGTTCTGTATCATACAAGTATTATTTCATTTCATTCATTCATCATCCTGTTATTCGTCGATTGCCTCGAGCAGGCCCCAGTAACGTCTCTTTCATCCTAGCCCTGAGATTATATTCAAGGCTCTTTAGGAGAATGAGACCCATCATTGTTATTGGTATTTGGCATATTTGGTACGCCACGGGGAGTTTGCCAGACTCTGCCCTGTGGGCAGGCTACATTTGATTCAAACTTTGGACAAACTTTGGACAAACTTATTTCATTTAATCCCCATTTTATATAAGAGAAAGCCAAGGCCCAGAAAGATGAAGTAACTTATACAAGATCATTCAGATAGTAAGAGTCAAGCTCCATATCCATTTGGTGTGACTTCCCATTCCATGCTCTGTTTGAATCACTATAATATAGAGTATCTATTAGTGACGAATTGTTGTAACCAGGAACCTTCAGGAGCCAAACCATGGGTTCAGGAGAAGATACAGAGTTAAAGTAGAAATGTATTTGTACCCATGGCATTTCCAATCAGTCATGCCCTTACCTAGCTACCAAGTAACACTGTATCACTGTCCTGTCCACTGTAGCACTGTCCTCCCATTGTTCATTGATTTGCTCGAGTGGGCATCAGTAACGTCTCCATTGTGAGACTTCTTGTTACTGTTTTGGGCATATCAAATACACCACGGGGAGCTTGCCAGGCTCTGCCGTGCAGGTGGGATACTCCTGGTAGCTTGCGGGGCTCTCTGAGAGGGACAGAGTATTCAAACCTGGATTGGCTGCGTGGAAGGCAAGCGCCCTACCCGCTGTGCTATAAATAACATATTCTTTGTCTTCAAAGAAAATGTAACCATTATGAATTTTAATTTATATATATGGAATCCTTAATTTGAAAAAAATGAACCCGGGATTATAAAAATTATAGATTGTAATCCAAATTTCTGAAACATTTAAATTCTAAGAATTTCACATGTGATCATGA